TTGAGTCTAAAGTCTGATTGAGACACTTAGCTGATCCAGCTATTTCAAGAACTAAAGGGAAAATTTTAAAAAAAAAAGAAGGCGACGAGAAACCCTCTTGAATATCTTGAATAAAATGTCCAATCATTGGGTGTCCTCTCTGCCACTAACATTTAGTAACTGATAATTGCTGTAACCATTGAGCCTTGCAAATATTATCCACTAAATTTTAATTAACACTCTGGGGAGAAGAATTGCAGAACAAGCTCATGGGAGACTTTCCCTGAACCAGTGGCAAAGTGTGCTGAGTAATTTTAGATCTGCCTGCCTGTCAAAGTGGATCAGCGTCATCTTGCCACTTATGCTGAAGAAAATGCACCTGCTTCTACATGGAAATAAGGTGCATTATCTGCCAATTTGTGCTGCTTATTTTCACTGTTGCCTGAGTTTGACAAGTGGAAAATACGAATGCATGGATTATTAATTCATAATCCAAGGGAAAAGGAAAAGGTGAAAGAGGTCTGTGGGTAAAAAACTATAATTTACTTGGTATCACAGGACCTACCAAAAGCTTTCTAAATAAACAGGGCATGGAATTCTACTAAAAGTCTAGAGAGACAAATACCTTTGCATTGTACTTTTAACATCAAACAAAAATCAAATCACCTAGAAAATTCAGTAGCATAAAATGACACAGCTAAAAGCAGAACAGACATCATTTTAATAGCCATAATTTTCTTTAAAGCTCCATAAGAATGGGATAGACATTCCATTTTGTATTCTGAGTCAAATAGTCTGAATATTCAAGCTACAATAAAGAATAATTTGCTCAATAGATACGACAACATCTAGCTTTGGCTCTGCTTTCACTGCTACGAAGTAATTCAATATAAATCAGCGTACATGGTTATAAGTTAATCTCCAGGGAGCAAATAACATCATTAGAGTGAAATCATTAACTTCAGTTAATATCCATAAGTCTGTAAAGGATAAAATCCATAAAAAATATTCAGGGTTCTTTGGTATTACTCAAATTGCTTGCAAAGGACAAGCTAAAATCTTTCAAAAGTGTTGAAGATCTAACTACCACTGTTCCAGTTCTCCTTTTGCTCAGGAAAAACCTTTGGTGACAGCTGCATCCAGAGCCAGTACTTAAAAAAATTCAAGGAAAAAAGTCAAGATTTTTTTTCGTGAAAGTTAGAGAGGCTATATGCAGGTTTTAGAACTACTCATTACTGGTCTCAGCCCCAGGGCAAATGTTTCCAAGATGCCAGGCTAATATCTTCTCTCATCTGTCTTGAAGACTGCTGCCTGGCAAGGAACCCCAAGGTATTTCAAAGAATCACGGAATCATAGAATGATGGCAAAAGACAAAGATCCTCTATATCCAATCCTCCTGCAATGGGTAGGGATACCATCCAATGGACGAAATTCCACAAAACCCCATGTAACCTGACCTTGAACACTTCCAGAGATGAGCATCCACAGTTGCTCTGGGGTACCTGTTCCAGTACCTCACCACCTTCAGAGTAAAGCATTTCTTCCTAGTATCTAATCTAAACTTATGCTATTTCCATTTAAAGACATAACCCCTTATACATCCTTGTAAATAGTCCCTCTCCGAATTTCTTGTAGCCCCCTTTAGGTATACTAGAAGGAATGTATAAGGTCTCCCCAAAGCCTTCCCTTCTCCAAGCTGAACAACTCCATCTCAGCCTGTCTCAGGTGCTTCAGTTCCTCTAATCATCTTGTTGGCCCTCCTTTGGACTCATTTCAACTGTCCTTCTGTTGAAGGCAGTAGAGATGAACATGGCATTTCAGGTGGAGTCGCATGAGAGTAGGTTAGAGGGGCACCTGATATCACACGTGTTTTGAAGCTGCCGAGGATGCATTTGACTTTCTAGACTGCAAGTGCACATTGTCCACAGTTATCCACAGTAATTTCTCATCAGCCATCACCCCCAGGAGTGCACTCAATGTTCATTTGAGATGCATTTGTGCTTGGGATTGCCTTGAACCAGATCCACAACATTTTTTTTGACCTTCTCAGTCCTGATGAAGTTCATGTGGTCCCACCTCTCAAGCTTGTCAAGGTCCCTCTGGATGGTGTCTCATCCCTCCAGTGTGTTGACCCCAACACACAGCTTTGTGTCATCAGCAAACTTGCTGAAGATGCACTCAATCCCACTGTACACATCACCAACAGTGTCAATCCCAACCCTGACCTCTGAGGGACACCAGTCTCCACTTTAACACTGGGCCATTGAAAGCAATTTTTCGATTGTGAATATCCAGCCAGTTCCATACCCAATGAGAGGTCCATCCATCAAAGCCATGCCTCTTTGATTTAGAGAGAAGAATGTTACACGGGACAGTTTAAAGGCTTTGCACAAATCTGTAGCATTGGGTGTGATGGTAAGGTGATGCTACTTTCCCAAAAGTGCCTCCAGGGAGGAAGGCATCTGGGCAGGCTGCAGTCACACTCACAAGCACGACAGGACAGATGATCAATGGTGGACAGCCAGGAAGGGTCTTTGTATGGCGTTCCAGTGGGGTTTATTACAGGCACACGCTGAAGGGGCCCTGGAATAAAGACAAGGAACACTGGAGGGGCCAGGGTTATATGTATCACCCTTTGAGGGGGTGGATCTGAGGGTCAGGGTCCAATAGGAACAGGGTAAAGTGGTGCATAGGCAGGGCCAGGGAAAGGGAGAGTCAGTGGGATAACAGGGGGGAAGGGTGCAGCAAACTGGGGCCAATGGGGAAACAGGGAAGGGAGAAATTTCTAGAAGAAGGACAGAAGGTTAAAGGGGGAAGGAGGGCCAACAGGCCAACTGGGTACATACAACTGGGATATGGTGAAATGGTGGTGCAAAGAACTATGGGAAAAGATTTTTCTTTCTATTCTTATATGGGGGAATATCTTCTCTTTATGTTTTAACTTCATGCATTGGAGGTCTCCTTCCACACCATTACTGCCCTTGGCTCTGGAGCCTCCACAACTCCCCCTTCTTTATTTATTAAGACGGCTTGTTGACACGGTGCCAAAGCTGGCTAGCGCTGCCACTGCACCACGCCGGGAGTGGGACACACCTCAGGAGCTGGGTGACCCAAGGTGCAACTTAGAGCAAATGTTGTATGGCACAAAGATATTATTAGGTGCACAGTGGAAACAAGGATGAGGAGGACATCTCTGGTATGGGTTCAAAGGGTTTTATTCCAGTGCAGGGTCCAGGGACTGAAGACCCAGAATAGTAGCGTGCAAGCATTTTTTAAACTGGGGAGTTCTAGAGAAGGGTACAAACTTTCAACCAAAGAAATGTTCTTAAGTGTTCTCAAAGAAATAGAAATGTAACAAATATTAATATCAATATCAATCAATTAATATCAAATATTAACAAATATCAAAAACATCTTAAAATTCTTCTGAGAAAGTACTTAAAAACTGGATACAGGGATCAACTGGAAAATTAGGTACCTGTTTCCTGATGTCAGTGTCTCCTTAGGGATGTAACAGTCACAACATTTTTTCAAATTACTGGTTGTTAGGACTTCTTTGGAATGTAGGGCTTAACCCACCTTTGAGGAATACACTTCAGTCCAAAGGGAGTGGACACACAAGCATATCCACATCCCCAGGTGATTAGTTCATGTGGGCCCTCTACTTTCCAGGCCTTAGGGTCTCTTACAAGAACTGGAAGATGTTCTGTCAATTCTTGTGGCAGCGGCCTCAGGGGAGACAAAGAGTTACACTGTCCCACCCCAAACCCCTTGTGAAGGGCGGCCCAGGTGTTCTGATTGGGTTTGAGTCCCTGGGGGTTTCTCCCTTGGTGTGTTTCTAGTGGTCCCTGACCCTGAACTCCACCCCCAAAGGTGTAAACCCTCAAGGGTTCCATCCCTCAAAAACCCCTGCTGTGCCTCTGTTCGGGGCTCTCTGTTCTGGACTTGAGTTTGTTCCCATGTTGAATAAATTGTTTCATGAATTGGGAACACGTCTCGTTGGTGTTTGATGCTGGTCCCCAGAATCCTGCTGCTTCCCTGGATGAGATCCTGAGGTTGCTGACTGCAACAAATTCTGTCTATTTTGCTTAAAATGATGAACAACAGGTGGGTTAAGAATTTCAAATGAGCAGTTTAGGAAGTTGATGGTGAATAAGGCCCTACATAATCTTGTTTGTGGTGTTCATGACCTTGGACTCTTCACATTACTGCTCAAGGACCCTTCTCAGCAACTGATGGGTCCACTCAATCACAGGCTTGACCTGTGGGGGAGTAGGGGATGCCTCTCTTATGTTTTACAGGAGGCTAGTTATTACGTTTGCACTAAAGTGGTTTCTCCCTGTTGTCCCCTCCTGGGTTGGTGGTGTGTTGGCTCCTCCCCTTGTCCCTCCCCTTTGGTTTCTCCGCATTGGCTGGGGTCCTATTCTCCCCCTCCCCTTTTCCCCTAGTTTAAAAGTCCCTGCAATTTCTCCCTCTGTCTCTTTTTTCCCTGGAGTTTGTTCCAAGAATGAACTGTGGGACTATGTCCTGGAAAAAAGAGCCTCCTTTGTCTTTTACCTTTGTTCCTTGTTGGACCACCCCCCTGCCCCCCCTCTTCCCTGGTGGACTGGAAGCTAGCCGGGTGATCACTGGGACTGGAGAATAGAGAATTCTCACACAGGAGCTCCCCGAAGGCCTTGGAAGCATATGTGGGGCCATTATCTGTTTTGATGACCTTGGGGATTTCCAGCACAGAGAAGGCCTGCACCAGGTGTTTATGTGCATCGACAGCCTTCTCCCCTGGGTGGGCAGAGGCGTAAACAGCACTGGAGAAAGTGTCCACTGAAACATGGACGCTGAAACACTGAACATATTTCAGCCTGCTGAACTGGGAGATATGTGTCACATCACTTTGCCATACCTCACAGCTGCCCAAGCCTCAGGGGTTTACCCCCAAGCCTAGTGATTGTACTGTATATCTCTGGCAGCTAGGGCATGTTGTCACAATGGACTTGGCCTGATCGTGCCTTAGGTGGAATTGGTGTACCAGGCCAGGCACATTTTGATGGAATTGCTGATGGCTCATCTTCACCTGTTAGAAGATGTCAGGCAGTTTGGCCATTTCAGCTGGAGTGGCCAGGGCATCTGCTGTCTGACTACCTTCTGTGATAAAGCCTGTCAGGTCAGTATGTGACCTCACATAATCACATAAAATCACATAAAATGGTTGCTTTTGGTGGGAGACAAGATGGATTAGTTTCGAGACCAGCTTGAAGAGGCTTGGATTCGAGATCTCCTTTAGAAGAGCATTTTCTGCCCTAGACACTACCCCTGTTACACGTGCCAAATCAGTTACTAGATTAAACGGTTCGGAAAATCTCTCAAAAGCTCTGACGACTGCATCCAACTCAGCAATTTGAGGGGAACCCTCAATTTCCTTAACATCTGCCTCCCAGTGCTGAGTTTGAGGATCTTTCCAAGTCATTACTGACTTGTGAGATGCTCCGGATGGGTCTGTGAATACTGCCAAAGTTTTAAGTGGTCTCTGACTCTTTTCTTCTTTTGGGATTTATTTGAACTCTGAATTAAACTATTTGTATACAAGAGCATGAATTGAAATTTGTCCTGAGTAGCTGTTTAGTGCAAACTGGAGCGTCTCGTTCTCCCTGAGCAACTGCTCGAAAGCCTTTTTTGTTAACTTGCCAGTTAGGGTGACTGGCAAGTGTATGCATGTGAAGTCACATCCTGACAGTTCATGTATCCTTGCTCTGGCCTTTCTAATCAACTGAACCATCAGCTCTTGTGGCTTTGTGATGCTCTTGGACTATTGGTGACTGAGGAACACTCACTCTATTATTAAGAGCAGATCCCTCTGCTCCTTGTCCCATTGAAAGATTAAACCATGGAGGTGTGGCAGCCTCCCAGGTACAATGAATTCGAATTGCAGCTTTGGCAGGCAACGGTGGGCTTGTTTAGATGCCATTGCCACCTGCACTTTCTCCAGTGCCAGCCTCACCTCCTGGGTCAGAACCCTAGGAGAACTCAGTTCCTCTCACCCCTTCAATAAATTGAAAAGGGAGGCTAGATCCTTGGTTATTATCCCTAGCCAGGGTCTAGCCCTGTTTAAAGACCTGCACAGCTGATGGATATCCACCAAGGTTCTTGGATCATTATTTCCAGTTTTTGTGGTTGAATAGTCTTGTTGTAAATTTCTAGGCCCAGATACTTCCAAGGAGGCATCCACTGAACATTTTCCTCCTGGAGTTCGAAATCCTGCAGCAATTAAAACATTTACAGTCAGGTCAAGCATGTATTGGAGTATATCGTTTTTGGGGGCGCACACAAGTACATCATCCATATAATGAAGAATGACAGCCTCCTCAGCTTTGGCGTGCACTCAGGACAGCGTACCCCTAGCAGAGGCTTCTTGCAGAAGTACTCGCCAATGGTATTGCTTCACTGGGGCTTCTTGATTGATGGCGGGAACCGAGATGTCAAAGTGCAGGGTGTCAGCTGGGTCAAGGGGAATTTGAAAGAAACAATCCTTTATATCAGTTACTGTATATCAATTTCTGGAGAAGGGGAAGGCATCCCTGGTTGAAGAGACTCCATGTCTACAATGACTTAATTTAATTTCCTGAGGTCATGGAGAAGCCACCACGTTTCCTTCCCCAGCTTTCTGATGACAAATATGGTAGAGTTCCAAGGGCTTGTGGTTAGCAAAATATTTCCCTTTGCCAACTGCTCTTCCACAAGCTCATTGAGCGCCTTTTATTTTTCTTTGCTCAGCGGCCACTGACCTATGCTAACCAATGTATCTATTTTCCAATCTAGTTTTTGGGCAGGGTGCTCCTCAGTGACCACTGTTAAAAATCCTGAGGGGTTTTGGGGATCTCAGTTCTCATCCCCCATTGCGACATGGCATCCCACCCCCACAAGGGAACCTCATAATCCAAGATGAACTGCTGAAGTCCCTTAGCTCCCAGCCCTGGGAAATCTTCCGACTAGCTCCAGTCCACCGGGGCTGGGAGGGGGATTTGGCAAGGATAAAAGACAAGGGAGGCTCTCGCTTCCCAGGACACTGTTCCTCAGTTTATTCTGAATGAACTCCAGGGAAGAAAATAAAGAGGCAGCAAGGCAAGAGGGGATTTTTTAACTGAGGGAGAAAGGGGAGGGGAAGGCAGGTTACAGACAATAGGATGAAACCGAAGGGGATGGGTGAGGGGGAAGGAATCAACACACCACAGACTCAGAGGGGGAGCAACTCGGTAAAACCACTTAGTGTAACATAGTGCAACACAACAATGAACGGACGTAAATTTGTCCATTGTCCATCTGGCCCCTTAATTTGTATGATATCCTTTGATTGCATTGCCATTTTAACACCCCCTGAGCCTCGTACCTTGCTTGCCAAGCATTTCAAACCCCAATGTGATGGCCGTCAGTCAGAGGGGATTATTGTCACACCTGCCCCTCTGTTCAGCAATCCTTCAAACTGGAGGTGATCTTTACCCCAATGGATCCCTCACCTTATTGTCCTGATGGGACACTTGTGGCTGCGTTCTTTGCCCCCCTTGGACTGAGATTGATGAGAGAGAGGCAGTTTTTTCTTGTTCGGACTTGGCTGTTTATTCTTCTTTTATCTATACTACATGTATACAGGGTATAAAGAGTTACATGCACTAAGATAGAAAGGTGCAAAATGGCTAAAAAAGAACTTTTTCAAGGTCTTTTATGTGTCCATTTATCCAATTAACAAATGGCAAGTAAATTATTTATCTTAGTGACCCAATGACCCAACATCTGTGTGCTGTACTGTGGCATTCTCTATCCAATCACTTACTACTACCCAAAAACCTCTAGAGGAAGAAGATGAAGAAGGAAGAATGAAAAGAGACAACACCCTAATTCCTCCATCTTGCTTCTTATTTTCTAAACTAGCTTAAACTTTTAACTTTCTCACCCAGTGACTTCAGAAAGCTTTCTAATTTACACACTCACACTCCTAGTTCTTTTATTTAACAATTGTTTTTCATGGTGTTATATGAAGTTCAGTGCTTTCTTGGATGTCAGAGCCAGGTATCAGAGATAAGGGCACACACTCTGTTCCTCTGACTACAACACCTTAATATTGGTTTATTCACCCCTGCTACTTCTGACCAGTAGACCTCAGGTAATGACTTGTCTATGGTCAGCTTGTTTGGCATTGGAATGGCCTGGGCATTGATTTGGCCCTGTGGTAGGAAATAAGGTGGGCAGACACAGTGTGCCAGGAGAATGAGTCCCTCTGTGTCTGATGTTATGACTTCAGGGGAGATCTCAATGTCTAGAGGAGTATGCTTCATGTCCCCAACAACAATATACTTATAGTCCAGACCAGTAAATTCTTCTAGGTCCTGTGAGTCAATTGATACCACCTGCCAATGACTTGTGTCAAATAGCATGTTCTTAACTGTGATTAATAGAAATGGTCAATATGGCTCCCATACTTTATTACTATTAGTGAGTCCCCTTTGTTAGCCTCCTTGACCTGCCTCATTTTTATCATTGTGTGAGGTAGGTCTGCAGTCCCCTTTTAGTTTTTTGTTCTTGAGTACCATGTTGACTTCCCTGCCCAGCCTGTGTGAGTGGTATCTTTTTACTAGGACATACATCTGACTGATGTATCCCCCCTGCCCCCTCCCTCAATTAAAATGTAGAAATGGCTTATTGGATGGCCTTGATGACATAACTGCAGTCACTACTCTCTTGCTCCCCTCCCTTTTGCCCCTCAGCTCCAGGATGGTGGCTTTCTTAGCACAGACTTTAATCATGAGGTCGAGAGTCGGCGGCGGATTGAATGGAAGGCCCAGGATGAACTTCTTGCATGTATCATCAGCATTTGCCTGGGCCATCTCTGTCATGATCTCCACTTGCATCAGCCAACTCTCCACCTGCTTCTCTACTTCCACTCGGAGCCTCTCAACAAAATCTATAAAAAACTCAGAGGAAAACTCCTGGATGTTGACGTAATTGCATTTAAGATCTTTCATGGGCATTAGAATGAATACTTCCTAAGCAGCTCCCTTTACTTGATCAAGAACAGGCTGTGGTATTCCCCCAGCCTGCTTCCGAGCCTGATCCCAATCTCCTTTGCCGCTTATATGATCCACGGTAATGTAATTATTTGTAGTGTCAACAGTGCACTTGGGGCTCTGCAAAAGCTCAGGAAGGAGTTCCCGCAATAATCTCTTGTGTGTCCTCTTTCCCCAGAAGGTATTCTGTGGTAGTTACGAGGCATGAAAACAAATCCCTGAGATCATGGAGAACTAAAATGTTCGAGGAAAAAGTTCCTTTAAGAGCCTTCAAGAGGCTCTTAAAATATTCACTTTTTCTCCCAAACTCTTTCTGTGCCTTGCAAAGCTCCTTTTAGTTTTGGTAGGAGAGGGGGTCCTATACTGGGTGCTCTCCCCTATGATTATAATTAACTGGAGCAGTGATTAGAAGGGCCTCCTCTTCTGGGTTATGGTCCCTGGGCCAGTCACATCCAGTTCCACTATCATGGGAACGAGGAGAAGCATGGGAACTGGAAGCTGGAAGAGAGTGGGAACTGCATGAGAAAGAAGAGGAGACAGGGGCTGGGCAACAACTGAAAGGGGTGGCGCTTAAAGATGATGTTGTGGGAACTGGGGGAGAAGCCAACACAAAGGAAGAGAGGTGCCCAAAACATGGGGGTGGTCAGGGGACAGGAAGGGGCTGGGTAAAGCAGGGAGAAATGGATTCTGGGAAGGAGAAGCACAAGGAAGGGGCCCTGTCATATGGCCAGTGCCATCTTTTGCCTCCTGGAGGATATTTTGAGGAACAGGGGAAACCTGGAACCCTTGGTCATTGAACTTGAACTGGAGGATTCACAACTGGAGAAGGGGAATTTAGGGAAGGGTCCCTAACAGCGTGGACATCACTGCCAGGGAAAGGGTACTGTGAAGGTTATGGGGAGCCAGGGAGTCAGTGACTCTCCTGTGCTTCTGGGCAGTTTGCCCCACGCAGACCTCCTGGCATAGGGGAAAAAGGTTTCGTACAGAGGGACAGGGAAACTGGGGAAGATTGTTTTGGTTGTTCTTCCACCTTTGTTTTTTCCATTATCATGGACTGAAGCATTACAAATAATGAAAAAAAATTACCATCTGAGGTGTCTCACTTTTTGCCTAAGTCAGTTAATTTATTCCCAACAGAGTTCCAAAAGGAAACTAACTACGTTCTCATGGGACACCTTTGGAAAGTGGAGGAACAACCACTGAACAACTCTTTCTAACAATCCCGCAGAAAGCTTTTTCCTCCCACCCTCCAGGATTCCCACAACTTGGAAATAAATCCACCTCTGCTGTGCTGACAACTTTTCACCCATCTTCACACTCTTCTCTGTCAGCACAGCAAAAAATCTGCCCTGCCCTGCAGCAAAAGGAACAGCTGAAACAAAAGGACCAGGGACTGATCCAAAGGGACATAGTGCCTCCTGCAGTCCATTTGACAGTAAACTGGGACTCCCCCCGAACCTCCCAGGGTGCTGCACAACCTTCCTACAAATTCTATACCAGTGGCAACTTACCAAATTGGCCTCCTGGAACTTAAAACACGCAGGGCAAGTCCTCCACGGGGAAGTGGTCCTTACAAGTGCCAGAGGACTGTCACTTCCTCTCCCGAGAGCGCCACCAGACAAAAACCAGTTTGCTCTACTCAGAGTTACAGACCACCAAGACTTCATGCTTTCCAATCCACTGAAAACACTGTCTGTCCATGGGGTCTTGAAGGCAGGGGCCCCACCTTGAGTGCTAGTTGACATGGTTCTGGAGGTGGCTAGGTCTGCCACTGCACCATGCTGGGAGTGGGACACACCTCAGGAGATGGGTGACCCAAGGTGCAACTCAGAGTAAGTGCTCTATGGCACAAAGATACTACTAGATGCATGGTGGAGGCAAGGATGAAGAGAAGATCTCCAGTATGGGTTCCAAAGGGTTTTATTCCAGGACCTGAAGACCCAGAAGAGTAGTGTGCAAGCGTTTTAAAACTAGGGAGGTTCTAGGACAGGGTACAAACTTTTAACTAATAGGAAGAAACTATGGGAGGAGTGGAAGGTGGGGATTACATTTAACAACCCAATAGCAGAAACAAGGGGAAGAGAGTGGGTCACACAGGCCAAAGGGGTGGTCCAGGCAGGAGGCTGGCCTGAGGGAAGATTGACAACTGGGTGAAATGACTGACAGGGAATATTTGAGAACAAGGGGTAGTGTTGAGGCAGGATTGACAGCTGGATGGGACACAACCTCGAAGCAAACCAATGACTTAGGAGCATAACAGAACAAACCATTCAAACAAAACACACCACAACAGCTTGTCCTGTATATTTTTGCACAAATTTGACAAAACATGTAAACATAACCAAAACAATGAAAATAATAAGTAAAATCCACAAAATGCAGTAAGAAAGTTTGGGCCCCGCCCATCAGTCCTATCTTCTTTAAAAGTTCCTGGAACCGGTCAGCTCCACTGTCCTTTTCCAACTGGATTCCAGCTTCCACTTTGAAGTCTTTAACTTGGTCCCAGAGATGCTGGATGCTGTGGTGGATGGATTGGCTTCTGGATGTTAGGTTGAAGCAGCATATCTCTTTGAACTCTTTGATCCATGGCCATGGGCGAGTAGCAAAAAGTCCATGACAGCCCTATTTTGGAGGGTTGCATGACTGGTGTTCTCTTTGTCCTCCAGGAGGGCACTGAAGGCTGCGGATGTTGCATTGGCCTGCTTGCTAAGCCAGCACCCCAGGCGAGAAATCTCACTGAGATTTTACCCATGCTAAAAATACGGGGACCGCAACCCTCTTTCCTTTGTTCCAGTTGTAAATTTGGCTGTCACAATTCTCATCAGATTGGTCATATGATCTGCTTTGCAGGCCAATTGAGCTTTCTTTTTCCAATCTTGAAGCAAGGTGATACTCCCGATGAGGGTAGTAAGCTGGCCAAGGCTACAGAGACCCCCTTGGAGGCGAGAAAGGATTCCTGCCCAAACCCTATCCCCACAGATAAGAAATACTTCCCAGATGAGTACCCTGGGGTGAAATGTGGATGGGGTCAGTCCACTGGTATAATTGTACCAGTCATGGCGAATATATTTTCCAAACTGGGTCCACATTGTTCCTGTGAAGGGAATGAATGTGGTCATGCTGATGTCGTAGCCTGTAGTCGAACTGAATACAATATTTGGCCCTGGAGGATCCCAACAGATCCAGTTTTTGGGGCTCCTCTGGTGCATGTGGTAATCCTCATCCACTCATCCCAGGTATCCATGGGATTTGGTTTCTTACTGGCATAGGGATAGTGCCTTTCCGTCAGTGGAATCCCCATCAGGCACAATGACAAGAGGCTGGTGAAAATGGTAGGGCATTGAGAGGGGTTTGAGTTTTGAAATATATTGGAGCCAACTGGAAAACCAAATTAAATAGTTTGAGGTTAGGAAAATGGATTGAAATTTGGCCTGTGTATCTGTCTAAGGTGAACTGGAGGTGCTTGTTGGTTTGGAGCAAATGGTCCGAACACCCTAGAGTCAATGGCATGTAAGGTCACACCCTGCAAGGGTTCAGAGGCAGGTTCAGCTGAGCCATCAGCTTCTGTGGGGTGGTAATTGTCTTGATGGTCTGGTGTGATTGGAACACCCACTCTATGATGAGAAGTTGATCTTTTAGAGTGGCGTCCCACTGTAAAATGAGTCCATGAAATTTGGGTGACTTACATGATATCACAAACTGGAAGGGAAGGTTGGGGTCAGTGCGGTGAGCCTGCTGAGATGATAATGCTTCAGATATGTTTTGGATTGCTACCTTGAGCTTCAGTGTGATGGTCCACAACAAGTTGAGGTCCTCACAGCCTCACAGAAGACTGAAGAGCAGTGCAGAGTTCTCAGTCATGATCCCCAGCAGTGGATGGACCCAGCTGATGGATTTGCAGAGTTGGTGAAGGTCCCACAGGATCCTCGGGTGAGCTGCTGGGGTATGATGCTCCGCTCACCAATCCAGAGTCCATAGGCAGGTGCACTGAATCTTTTTGGTGGAGATCTCAAATCCTGCCTCCTTGATGGCTCAGATGGTTTTATCGAGTACAACATCTAAATAGGTGTCAGTCCACATGCAGATTAAAATGTTATCTATGTACTGTAAAAGGTTGCCTCTGATGGGCAAGAGAGTGTGGGCAATGTACCACTGGCAGATGGAAGGTAAGTTTTTCATCCCTTGCGGGGCAACTCACCAGTGTTACCTTCTTAGACAGGCCTGCCTATTAAGGAGTGGTACCAAGAATGCAAACTTGAGAGCATCTCTGGGATAGAATAGGATGTGGAAGAAGCAGTCCTTGATGTCAATGACTGCTAACTTCCAATCCCTCGGAAGCATTGAGCATGAGGATAGGCCAGGCTGGAGGGGGACACATATCCTCAATGACCTTGTTGATTTTACGGAGGTCTTGCAGGAGCTGCCTCCTGTCTTTGCCAGGTTTCTTAATGACAAAGACAGGGGTGTTCCAATGACTATTAGATGGTCCAATGTGCCCTTGGACAACTGGTCCTGCATGAGATTCAAGCACTTTTAACTTTACAGTGGTAGGAAGTCACTGATCTACCCACACAGGGCTATCGGTGATGCTCATCAACTGTGAATTTGCAAGCTCTACAGTGGCCCCAACTAGAAATCCTGTGGTGGAGAGGGGATTTCTAGTCTAGTCTCCTGTTAACAGGCCCCTCCCCCATAAGGCAATGGGTGCCCTTACCACGTAAGGTCTTACCATGGCAACCTGACCCTCAGGTCCCTTGATTTGGATGTGATATTTGCTAATCATGGATATTATGGTTCCTCCAATCCCAGACGTGCCCCCATTGACCAGTACCAATGGCCACTCTTGGGGCCATTGAGACTGGGCAGTGATGGTGATGTCCACCCTGGTGTCCGCCATCCCTGGAAGATAAAATCTGTTGTCTCTGTCAGACAG